TAAGTTTTCCGGACCAGGTGCGGCTGTTTCTGGACGTACGTACCTTGTCGTAACGTGTCATACGTCCCCACTGAGGTGTCTGGACTAGGCGTCTGTTTCTGGACGTACGTACCTCGTTGTAGTGTGCCGTACGTCCCCAGTGAGGTGTCCGGAGTCTTGTTTGCTGTGTTTGGGCCACTTGGGCCTGTTGGGCCTGATTGTAGAAGTGAAAGTATGTGGGTCGGGGGTTCCTGGACCATATACTCCATCACTTTTTATTTTATAATGGAGGTTTGGAATGTTAATTGTATCATTATGAATGCTAAAAATGATCAAATTATGAAATAAACACCAAATTATGGAATTATCAAATTATAAAAAATAATACATGATCATGGTGCTAAAATAACTTTTATATAAAGTTTGAGGTATTTAAATTACATATGCATGTTTGTTGTGCTTATATCACACCCTATCAAACTTTGGGGTATTTTAATTATTTTTCCCTTGTTTTTACGGAATTCTTTGACTGATGCAGCACATGTAAGTGATATCATTGTCATTTAATTTCAAGAAAAATAGTATTCCCTCCGTCCCAGAAAATTCTTCCCACTTTGACTTGGCACGGAGATTAAGAAAGTGGAATAAAGTGAAAATGTATGGTTGTAGTTATGTAAGAAAAACGTGAAATGAATGTGAACCACACAATTGTCCAAAAATGGTAAGCGGAAAGAATTTTTTGGGACGGCCCAAAAAGGAATGTGAGAAGAATTTTATAGGACGGAGGGAGTAGTAGTTTAATTTGTAGGGGAGGATCTATGTACAAACTATGGTAGGCTGAAGCTCAGTGCATATTATTTATGGAGTATTTTTTAATTTTTTTGGTGTTAATTTTTTCATTTTTCATATTAAGCCCACCTCACAAATATTTAAATCTAGTATAATTACTCTTCAATCCAACCTAACTTAGATTTCTGGATTCGCCCCCTGTTAGTTTATCTGTTTCTGAGTACATTCCGTACGTACGTACACATACATTGAAATATTGTATTATGTTCCACACTATAATGGCATTAGTTCTACAGTTGTACAAGATTTATACTTGCGTAAATGGCCGGTCCTTTTGAAGATAAAGAAATACAGCATTGCTCATGAGATGACTATGCAAGAAAGATTCACCGGAGGCGGAGTGTGGAGAGGCACAATTGCAATTTTGCCTTTGGAAATCCCTTCTCTAAGTTTTGCTTCACATAGGAGTTGCATAAAAATTGTATTCTACTGTATTATTTTGAGATAATTACTTCAGGTATAACTAAAACTCTATCAGTTTCCCAATATATGACCTTATTACCTTTTTTCCAAAAATAATATTTAAATTCGTCCTAATTAATTAATATATTACTAAATAAGTAAATAAATAGTTTTATGGACCAATATGCCATTAAATTGTTATTATAAAGCCCTAACTTTCTACTCATTTTCTAAACAGTAGCCAACGATCATGGGCGGACCTATAGCTTAAGGAGGGTATGCATAAGCTTCACCTTAAAATTGTTGCTAGCCTAGGTTGTAGTACTATGAATATTAAAACCTATTAAGGCTACGGGTCAAGGGTTCGAATCTTTGCAAGGCTACACCTGAATTTTAATTTTTATGCGGAGAAAACGGAGTACTTTTTACATGCCATTTAATCACGTTATGGTGGGTTTTTTACTTTTATCTTCTTTATTGAATTGGACCATAAGGTATTACTTATTAGGAATGCACATGAAGATCTCATACAAATTCTCACAAGATCTTCTATTTCTTGTTTCAAAACAACTGCAATGTATCCTCTCAGCTCTCTTACTTCCACAAGTTCCGGTGATTCACTTTCTGGGCTCCACTTGAGTTTTATTTTTTAGTTCTCTAATATTAAAGCCTTATATTAGTTACGAAGTAATAATTATTGTGAATTTGTGATTATTGTTCAAACTATTATTAATAGTAACAACCAATCTGTGTGAAAAGTAGCAGTGGAATAGTTGACTAGAATTGCGATTAAGGATGTTTTTACTTGGATTGTAATTTGTTGATCTGGTATGGTCGGGTCGAGTCTGGTCTGAACTGGTCTGGTCTAGTCTATTTTTTTTTTGTATTTTTATAACTATCCAAGTCTGGTCTGGTCTGAAACGATCTGGTCTGAGCTGATTTGGTCTGGGAGGAATTACAGTCCAAGTAAAAACATCCCAACTCAACTACTCAAAATTTATATATTTATCTAACCCTAAATTATTAAAGCCTTATTAGTATTATTAATAGTGTACGGAGTATTCTCTAATCTCTAATATTTCAATTACTTTACATGTAAACAAGAGATAATTACCCTATGTATTACTAAAACTTCATCACTTTCTCAATCTATGACCTAATGAGTTTTTTCTTAAAATATAATTAAAATCCGTCATAAATAATTATTATATTAATAATTAATTAAATAAATGATTTATTATGACTAATATGCCCTTAAACTATTATTTTAAAAGCCTAATATCCTATTGCTTGTAACCCTAAATCTTGTAGCCACATCCCCTGCATACAGATCCCCACTAGTGCCGTCGTCCGATGTACAGCGCCGCCGCCACCCGACGTACAGCCACGCCTCTGCTCGCCACACAGCCATGCTGTCGCCAGAGAAAAATCACCATCCCAGAACCTATGTAGCCTAGTTGAGAAGCCGTCCGTCCGACCTGGGTGCCATGGCGTCGTCGATGGTCGTCGCTCGCCCGACAACCTCCGCCGAAGTCCAGTCACGCCGCCTCCACAGATGTCCGACCTGGGGAGCGCAAATTTGGAGCCCTATGGATGAGATTCACTCCATTCCTTCCACAGACGCCATGTTGGGGAGCGCCGATCTGGATCCCGGGTCCCATGGATGAGATTCTCTTCTTTTCTTCCACAAACGCCAGGTCTGGGAGTGCCCATGGATGAGATTCCCTTCATTGGCAGCTCTGGGTTTGAAATTTCACGCACAGATACTTCTTTTTACATTTTATTATTTGAGATTAGAGTCTATTGACATGAGCATTTAACATGAGCAGTAAATATGAGCATTGAGATTGGATAGTGAACTCGGAAATAGACAACGATGAATAAATGCATTGAAAAAGTATTTTGCAGTGATTCGAAGGCAATAGATAGTGTTACAACATTGACGGAAATTGCCATGAATATACATGGTAATAGTCATGTTGTACAAGACAGTGAATGAATGCATTAAGAAATTTTGTTATGCAGTGATTATGACCAGAATTACAGTAACCCAGAGCAGAAATACCATCATGAAATGCAATATACTTAATTAGAAGTAAAATAATACAATTATTTAATCTAAGAAACAAAAAACAAAAACTAAAAAAAATCTAAAGTGAATGAGAAGAGTATTAATTTTGGCGGAAGTGCAGTGATAATTATCGGGTTTGCAGTAGAATCGTGCATTAATGTCGTGCATTAACGGCAATATAAAGTGCAGTAATTTTAATCGGAAGAAATTAGTGCAAAATGACCGTATTTAAAATAAGGGTATTTTCGTCATTCAACCTTTAAATATAAACGAAATTTATTTATTTTTTGAATTTTTAGTCATACAAAAGTTTAAAAACAAGTTAGGTCATAGATTGGGAAACGTATTGAGTTTTAGTAATATTCTAGGAAATTTCCCAACTATCAAACTATGTTTTGATAGGACTAGTTATCTATGTATTGGACAAATATACCCTTGTTGCTATTGAAATGTTTTAATTCATAATAAAATAATAAAAAATACTCCCTCGGTCCCTTAAAACTTTGTCATCTTTCCTTTTTTGGACGTCCCAAAAAACTTTGACACTTTCCCTTTTAATCAATTATTTTGTGGTTTCTGTTATTTCTCTCTCCTCTGCACAAATCTCAACCACACAGTTTTAACTTTATTATTCTCCGTGCTGGTCAACTTTGGCAAAGTTTTAAGGAACGGAGGTAGTAATAAAATTCGTAAAAAATAATAATTATAATATTTAAAAAAAAACGCAAAAAATAAAAGAAAATCACCGCTGCCTCTACCGCCCCAGCACCACCACCTCCAGTCACGTACCAGGGGAAAAAAATGCCACACACATTAAGAATGCCATTTTTATGGTAGATTCAAATGCAAATATTGACATTCGCAAAGAGTCATATGTCATTTTTTTAGATATTTTAAGAAAAAATGGCAGTTTTTAGAAAAAATAGCATTTTTTACACCGTTCGGAGGTGGTGGTGCAAGGAGGCAGTACAGGCGGTGGGAAAGGCATCCATAATTTTTTAAAATTTTTTAATGGATTTTTACTATTTTTTATTAATTTAAAAAAAAAGTAAAAAAAGTCGATTTTTTATTTTATAAATATTTTTATTAATTTTTTATTGTTTTTCTATGATTTTTATTATTATTTACGAATTTATATGAATTAAAACATTTAATTATGACTTTTCACTACCATTTACTCATATTTAAAGGAGGGGTAAGAATGGAATGAAAAAATAGCTATGTTTCCAATAGGACTAATATGGTCCTATTTTGGAATAAAAACATAACAAGTCTTATTTTGGGTTTTTGTCATTATTTTAGTCCTATTTGAAGTGATTTCCGTTGATAGTTTAACTTTTGGTCCTATTTGTGCAAACTGACCATCTTTTAGTCTTATTTTTAACAATTAACCCATATACGTCCCGAATTGAATTACAAACTTTGATTGACACAAGGATTAAGGAGTGACAATAAATGATGTTTGTTTTTTACATTTTTGCATATCTTCCCAAAAATAGATGTTTTTAAGTTAATGGGAAAAAAGTAAAAATAAGGGTAAATTTGTAACTTTAATTTTATTTACATATCTAAAATAGAAAATGGAAAATCATTTTGGAACAACCAAAATAGGAAATTTTGAAAATCAAATTTTGAAAGTACGGTAGTAGATAGCATGCAGCAGCAGTCGGTGTGTGTATTTGGTTTTACCTTCCCATGATTAAAAAATACTGATTGGACGAAGTAGAAAACGTACGTTGTTTTTAGAAGCTTAAAACTGTACTCATCACCTAGCTAGCCGGCCACTAGTTCCGATCCCCCGTTGATTGAGTGGCCACGTACGTACACTCATGGCGGCCAACTGCGACGCAGAAGCGGCGCCGCTTCTCCGGAACATTAACTGCCGCAATGGTGAGGGGAAAAAGCGGTGGCACCGACATCTGTCGAGCAGCGGGGTGAGAAGCTTTGCCGGAGAGTTTGGAGTGGAATCCAAGAAGCTGTGGGAGATCGCCGGGCCGGCGATTTTCACCGCCCTGTGTCAGTACTCCCTTGGGGCACTCACCCAGACCTTTGCCGGTCAAGTGGGGGACCTTGAACTCGCCGCCTTCTCCGTCGAGAACTCCGTCGTTGCTGGTCTAGCTTATGGAGTCATGGTAAATTATTTGTCTCATCTAGCTAATTGTCTCGTCTAAATAAACTTATTCAATTTGGGAATGGTTTTAATGATATGGCTCATTGCCTCATTATAGGTAGTATTTGGTATGGTTTGTACCTAGCTTGTGGTATGACATGAATACATGAAATGACATTAGTAGCCTCTAAATAAGCAACTTTACATGAGGATTGAAGTGTCATACTAAAACTCACGTGTTTGATAAAAACGTGGATCAATAAGCATGAGCGGCGTCGGAGGATTTGATGCCTTAGACAAAAGAGTATCACAAAAGTTATACGAAGTACTTTCTCAATTCAAGAAAACTTATTCATGATGGTCAAGGTTGACACATTATATTTTTTAATGCAAAACTATTTAAAACATGAAAGTTATATGAAAACATCCATTGATTACATTACTTTCAAAAAAATATAAATTTGTAAACTTGAAGCAAATTTAATAGGGAAAAGTACGGAAAAGGTACTTGTGGTTGAGCCCGTTTTCAGATATGGTCATGTGTTAAAATTCCGTTATCACAAGAGGATCACGCCGTCAAAAACGTCTGAAAAAGACCGTTAAAAGTAACTCCGATTTTCAAAAGTGTCTGAAAAATTAAAAGAAAAATATCGAAAGGTGCGCCTCGTCAAGATGACCTCCAAACCACCTTTGCCTTTGGATTTTTCAGATCTGTTTGAATTATTTTTTAAAAATGATTTCGCTAATATCACTTTTCCGATGGACTTTCCGGTGACAAGGGTGGCTGAAAACCAAAAAGAAAGATGGCCTAGCGGTCGTCCTATTGAGGCGCACCTTCCGATATTTTTCTTTTAATTTTTTCGGCACTTTTGAAAATCGGAGTTACTTTTTCAGGCATTTTTAACGGCGTGACCTTCTTGTGATAACGGAATTCAAACACATGAACCACTTTGATAAAGAATGAAACACATGACCATATCTGAAAACGCGCTCAACCACAAGTACTAGAGTAATTGAAGTTGTCCGGAATTTACTACCATTGATATAACAAAGTCCATTTGATCAAATTTTGTGGGATAAGGATAGTAATTTTACATTTACTTAAAATTTTCCTTTTCTTAATAAAAACATTATCAATTTGTTTGAAGTCTAAGTAAAATTGGATTTTTAAACAATCAACACATCAATAAGAAGATATCATACAATATTCTCTGCTTTAAAGTTTGAAGAAATATTTGAATGTTTCAAGAAAAAGTAAATATGAGTTTTAGAAATGATGAACCTTTTATAATCAATTATAATAGCTTTTGTATATTATGATCACTTCCTTATTAATTAATCAAAAACATAAGAACAATATCTCTAAAAAGTGTAACTTTACTTAGGAATAAATTTAATAATATAAGAACATAAATTAATCAGTAGGACCTTTTCATGTCTTTCAAAAAACATTACACTACAAAAAAACATGGGATTGTCAGAGATTTTGGCAGAGATTTTGACAGAGATTGATAGAGATTTTGGTAGAGATTTTGGCAGGGATTTTTATAAGAACATTACTAAAACAAGTCATATTTACATAAATATGACTATTCATTACTACAATGTGGTGTTGTGGTAACTTAAGCTCAAAACTTAAACATGAATTACTATGATTTCATTACTATTCTAGTCATTAGTCATATTTTTGTAAATCATCATTATTTTGATCATATTTATGTAATTATTTCTATGCCAAATCCGTGTCAAAAACATTTTGACATGAGATATTTGGCACAAAAAATCGATAAATCCTTCCCAAATTTCGTGTCAATCACGTAATTTTTTTGTAGTGTCACTACTACATTTTTAGACCTAATGTAACATTAGAGATGTAACATATCTATAATAGTGTTACCTATTTCTCTAATGTAACACTTTTTAGACCTAGTGCAACACTTTCTAGAAGTATAAGTGTTACATTAGGTACTATAAAGTGTTACAATAGGTCAAATGCAACACCAGCAAATGTAATGGTAAAAAAATGTTACATTTTCTCTGAAAGTATAAGTGTTACATTAGAGAAAATGTAACATTTTTTTACTATTACATTTGCTGGTGTTGCATTTGACCTATTGTAACACTTTATAGTACCTAATGCAACACCAGCAAATGTAATGGTAAAAAAATGTTACATTTTCTCTGAAAGTATAAGTGTTACATTAGAGAAAATGTAACATTTTTTTACTATTACATTTTCTGGTGTTGCATTTGACCTATTGTAACACTTTATAGTACCTAATGTAAAAGAAATAGGTCTAAAAAGTGTTACATTAGGTCTAAAAAGTGTTACATTAGAGAAATAGGTAACACTATTATAGATATGTTACATCATTAATGTTACATTAGGTCTAAAAATGTAGTAGTGTGTTAGTATTATAAATCACTCACTTTAAAAATAAAATTTAATAAATAAACTCGAGTGATTTAAAGGTAATACATATTAATATTCTTTTATGTCATTAGTAACTTCATTACTATTTATTTATTTATTTGTTTGTTTGTTTAGCTACTTTTTTACTATTTTTACAAAGAAAGAATACAAAAAGTGGGACCCTTTAAAGGCGGGGCGGGGCCCTAACCATGGTGCCTATGGTAAGTCCCCCAAAACCGCCACTGTGATAAGTTTAAAATAGAGGGTGCCAAACGGACTCTAGATATATTTGTAGTTCTCTCCCTTACATGAAACTTAAAACATGTTAAATCGTGCGGTAATTAAGAAAGTAAAATAGAGATTTATTTAAATATGAATAAAAAGTAAAAATAAGAGCAAAATTATTTTCTTTCTAAAAATAAGGCTTGTTCACCCTGACTTGGGGATTTTATGTTTTTAACAAATACAAATATGATAAAAAATATTGTTCACATTTTAGTCTTATTTAGAGCAACTTGTTACAAAAAAATTATATACTCCATATGTGATTGATAATTTTTCATTAAAGTAGGGTATAATTATAACCACATACGAGTATTTCTTACTGGATATTTTAATACTTGTTACATAATTTTGTGTTCAACTTTTTTATTTTATAGTCGTGTGTGTTTATATATATATATATATATATATATATATATATATATATATATATATATATTATTTCTATTTATAATTACTTTTATTTTTTATTTATGTCCCGATCCCGTACTTTCTTAGTTGTACAGACTTTTCATCTTCTTTCATTTTTTCATTTTAATATGCCATTTTATACCTTTTCCATATTAAATCATATTAACTGATGTCGTGTTTATAATTTTCTTAATATATCTCCATAGAAACTTAGGGAGAAAAGGACAAGTTACCTAGTAAAAATATAGGGAGTAAACATTCATTTAGCATAAATAAATACTAGTATCATAATAACCCGCTCTTACTAACCCAAGCCATATAATATAACCTAAAATGTCACATTTTGGCAATTTGTTTTGAGGAATACAATTACATATGGAAAAAGAAAGAGAAAATTCCCGAAATAGGAGTAAAAGAGTTTGAAAATTCCAAAATAGGACTTCTATGTTCTTATTCCCAAAATAGGTGTAATTACTGCCATGATTGAAAAAAACTGTGATGTTTAAAGTCTGGTACTGCCAAAACATGGCAGTAATTAGTCTTATTTTGAGAATAAAAACAGAATAGTCCTATTTTGAAATATAAAAACGTTTTTAGTCCTATTTAGGGTAATTTCTCAAAAAAGAAAATAATCGAAATATATATGATCGCAGCTAGGAATGGGAAGTGCATTGGAGACATTGTGCGGGCAAGCATATGGGGCGGGGCAAATGAGGATGTTGGGCGTCTACATGCAAAGGTCATGGGTCATACTATTGACCACTGCTTGTTTTTTGGTTCCTATTTATGTTTTCGCTCCTCCAATACTCCACCTCATTGGACAGACCCGACGTATCTCTAAAGCCGCCGGTTCGTTCTCTTCCCCCTCTTTCATTTTTTTGGTAAAAGGACTAAACAAAAAGTCATTCACATGTATAGTCTTTCAGAAAATATTAAAAGCATGACAACGTGTTCATTACAAAACACGTTAGTATGACGAATGATCAAGATTTATTCATCTAATTAAAACATTTAGATAATCGATCTTGATCATTCATCACACCAACGTGCTCTGCGGTGAGTACGTTAATTAGCATGCTCCAAGTTAGTGTTCGGGTTGGGTTATATAGTGTTCCCAAATTATCAAAAAAACTGAATCACTATACTCGATCTATCTGAAAATACAACAAAATATATCTTGGAAATCATGTTCCTAGGTATGAAAATTTGATTTTGTTCTCCCTCGTTGCAATTAATACGAAGTATTATTTCTTACCTACTTTGGACTTGGCAAAGCTCACCGAGACGGAGGTACTACTACATACGTAGTACAAAATAGTAAAATCCTAAATTATCTTTTATATTCAGAAGTTAAGTAAAAATGGAATTGTAGATTTGTAGTGAAAAGAATGATAAAGTATAAATGGTACCAAGTACGTAGTATATAGGGTCATTTTTACAAAAGGAGACGTAACGTTTATCTAGGATAAGGTTGTGAAATAATGATCGTTTGTAACATAAAGTAATAATGTCGCAGGAAAATTTTCATTGTGGATGATTCCACAATTATTTGCATATGCCATTAACTTCCCAATACAGAAATTCTTGCAAGCACAGAAGAAAGTGCTTGTAATAGCGTGGATATCTGCAGGCGTGCTATTGACGCACACCTTCTTTGCCTGGTTACTTATGTTAAAGCTGGAATGGGGACTAGTTGGGGCAGCCGTTGCGCTCAACTCTTCATGGTGGCTCATAGTTATCTTTCAGTTGATTTATATTTTCGTCTCCAAGTCAGATGGTGCTTGGGATGGGTTCTCATGGCTAGCTTTTCAAGACTTGTTTTTCTTTGTCAAGCTTTCTTTGGCTTCTGCCGTCATGTTATGGTAATTGTTAGTCTTGCTCCAAAAATTCAAGAAAGAATGATGAGTAAATAGTTGTTCAATTGGATTGAACAAGATTAACTAACGTGTCAAGTTTAACACTTTATGACCACAATCAATCACCCTGACCCCATTTTGAATTCTATATGTATTTGAACTTCACACACACATAAATAGAGTAAAGTGGTTAGGAGATCCACTCTGATATTGGTGAGCAGATCACTTCAACATTTTGATATTGTCCACCATAGGAGTAAAATATAGGAAGAATTATTAGACAGGACAATATAGGTTCCATTTCCAAGAAATATGAATTATTTGATCTTAATAAAAGAATAAGAGAACAAAAATTTGGCTAAATAGGTGTACGATTCCTATTTTGGGAAGAATGATATGTGCTCCTAAATTGAGAAAATTTGTTATGTCTTCTCTTATTACTTTGGTCATTATTATAAACTAATATTTGTTACGCTCACACGGCGACCTCGATAAATATGTTGGAATTGAATCTTGTTCCTGAGATATAATTCATTCATGAAATATCTTGAATTGCAGTTTGGAGTTTTGGTACTTGATGGTAATAATTCTGATAGCAGGTCGTTTGGAGAATCCTTTAGTCCCCGTTGACGCACTTTCTATCTGGTAATTTTGCACAAAGCGTCTATCATTTAAATTTATACATGAATTCCATATTACTTAAATGTTTATCTCCTAACATCTTTTTTTTCTCAATATTTGTAGCATGAACATACAAGGATGGGACGCGATGATTTCTATAGGATTTAATGCAGCCATAAGGTGAATCTCTTAGGCATACCTATACATAAAAAAAAAAAATTAACAAACATATATTTCATAGACATGATGATTTAAATTATGTTTTTGTGAAATTTATTGATTTAAATATTGCTGACTTTTAAATTGTTGGTGCAGCGTGAGAGTATCGAACGAACTTGGAGCTGGAAATTCAAGAATAGCAAAATTTTCCGTATTAGTGGTTTCTATTACATCAGTGTGTATTGGAATTGTTTGTATGGGAGTCGTGTTTGGCACAAGAAATCTTTTCCCACTCATTTTCACCAATAGTGATGCAATAGCCAAGGAAACCACGAAATTAGCAATTTTGTTGGGGTGGACATGTCTACTTAACAGCCTCCAGCCTGTCTTATCCGGTACAATTGCAAAAGCAACTACAAAATAAGTTTACAAAAATCGATTGAAATTTTGATTATCACCATATTCAAGGACTTGAAATTTCATCACAAGGGTTGAACTGTAAACCCATGTGCGATGTCAAACCTCAACCTCAGTTTGATCTATTTGACATTCAAATTAGAGATGGCTTGAATTTGATCGCTCACTACTTGCAAAATGTATAGGGGTCTCACTCCTTGATCAGCGAGTAGAGGGGCGATGTTGTGACGTGCCTAGGGTTTACTTCTAAAAGTTACCACCATATTCAAAGATTTGAGATATCATCATAAAAGTTGAATCATATGCTTTTGTATGATGTCACCGTTGATTAACCTCAAACGAGCAATTTGATCCATTTGAAACTCAAACAAGTAGTCCATTACACAAACAACATTTGAATATAAATGCGCATACATTCAATCTTTAAACTATTAAATATTGCACCAAATTTGATATTAATACATTGATGTTTTGGGAATGAACTAAAGTCTTAAGATTCAACACCTTTTCAGGAGTTGCTGTAGGAGCAGGATGGCAATATATTGTAGCATATGTGAACATCGCATGTTATTACATTGTAGGATTGCCTGCGGGAATACTCTTGGGCTTTACATTTGACTTCGGGGTCATGGTACATAATTATCGATCCTGTTATTCTTATTGATTCCTAAGGCTGTATTTAAAAACATTATAATTACTCCTGTTATACAATTTTGGTTTATATATTTCATTTACCTGCTGATTTAATTTGCAGGGAATCTGGGGTGGGATGATTGGAGGAATATCTCTACAGACCCTCATCCTCATAGTGATAGTCTCAATCACCGACTGGAATAAAGAGGTATATGTGTATTGCCATGACCTCTCCTTTTCAACTAAATAAATGCAATATGTGCACAAGAAATTTTAAAATAATATTAGAGCATAACCTTTTATGTATATTTATGGTCATAATTTTATTAGGAATAAATAAGTCATATTTTGAGAATAAAATATTTTTAGTTCAATTTGTGAATTTTTTCAGTTTTAATTCTATACATGCTATGATTTTAATTCCATGTATTTGTATACAAGTATACAACTTGTTTTATTCGTCTCATACTGGTAGTGTAAAATATTAAAGCAATATATGTAGTATAAGATATCCACAACATCTCATATAAACTTCTAAGATGAAAAAACTAGTAATATAGTATAAATTAAAGTTAATCCTAGGTGTCACTTAATTGTTTATTTAGCACAAATGTTCCAGTCTATTTAGAGTACATTGACCCATTTTATTCTCATTTCAAGTTGTTGTCATGTCTGGTTTGAACTTAGAGGCACGTTAAAGTATTGAGGTTGTACAATAAAAAAGTCTAAACTATAAATATTGAATACTTTTTTAATAAGGACACAATTAATCCCAACAATATACATAATAAGTTACTGCTATCGCCACATTCCGATTGAAACATGAAAACATTACACTAGTAGAAAAGACAAGTTGAACAATGTTGTTGCTATATGGTATATAAAGGATGAATAAAAATGGATAAATTAACACAATACATACATTCCCAAATATATTATAGAACAAATTTAGTGTTGATTTATCACAATATGATAGAGTCGGGTAATATAATTTGTTTTCCAATTTCTCTGTTGTACAATGCAGTTACGGCTTCATCGTTATTTGAAAAGGTCTTTAATTTGTAAAGTCTTTCATCCGTATCATGTAGCATTGTGCTACTTAAATAATTATTTATGTTGTGATGCTCTTTTGATTGGTTTGATCTCATTATTTTATAAATAACCTGGTGAACTCATTATTTATGTTAATGTTATCTAAATCTGTGTGCAGGCGGATATGGCAGAAGCTCGGGTTAAACGTTGGGCAGAGCCAATTGCAAGTATTTAAAAGTGCCATGAAAATGATAGACCATAGTCCATTAATGTGACAATTAATCTTTGAATTGTTGCTATGAATTTTTTGGATTGACTTAAATCCTGGACATTAATTTCCCCAAACCCTATATCGCGATGGAAGGGTTGTCCCCATTTAATTTAATTAAATGTTAAAATGTTGAAGTCAGGCATTGATGTTAATTTTACATCAGATTAAAACATAATTAAATTATTAACTTGTGTGGTTTAAAACTTTGAAAAATATGGACAATTTGTATCACATAAATATAGTCATATATATATATATTACATGTAATAGAATATTTTAGAGCAAATTGAAATTTTATGATTTGAGACAATAATTTTGAGGCCGCGAAAATTTGAAAAGATATTAATAAAAGAGAAGCAATGAAGCAAAAGGAATTAAATGAAATAGAGATAGTTGTCCAACACATATGATGGCGCAACTTGCAGCGATATTATCTCATAATCTCTAATCTTATATTTGTTGTTTACAAAATGATTGAAAAGATAAACTAATGTAAGACTTCTCTAATTTAAAGGGAAAGTGGATGAATGAAGTGATAGGTAAGTGTAGGAATTATAGTATATTTCATGTGTCATGTCTCACTTGTCCTAGCTAGTTCTATCACCACATATTATGAAAGAAATTCAAAGAAGTGAGAATGATCTTAGTGAATCACATCCCACACTTAAAATCATTCTCATGTGTGAAGTCTTGAATTCAAATCAATAAGGAGGTAAATTTAGAAGACTTTATCAAATAATGATCTTTTAACAACATGGTTAGCTTGAATGGGTGCGTAATTGGTAGGTCATCTCTGCGGTGTGAGATTCTTGCCGGTGGGAATCTGAAGGTGGTTGATAAACCGGTGACGATTTTCCAAGAACAATAAAGAAAACCCAAGAACAGACAAAGTCAATCAGCTAAGAGGTGTGGTGTATAAACGGATATCGGAAAACTAGCTATTATTTATTATGCATCATATTCAGTCAAAGATTATTTTTGAAACAAGCCCCGCCCCCTATATTGGGACTACCAAGCAATAATACACCATATGAATTATTAAAAGCGGACCGTGCATAATTGAGATTATTAAATTCGATTTTCCCTATATAAAATTTAGATAGTGAAAAAGTACTTAAAATTTAAATCTTTCCAAAACTTAAGAAGTTTAAAAGCTAAATATCCCAAAACTCAATTCATTTAAAAACTTCACCAAAAATGAAAGACATAAATAAAGATTAATGATAAACTCAAAAATTAAAATTAAAATATAATGTCAAATAAATAAAAATATATATTTCTTTTTACATGGTACATTTTAGTCTTAGATTTACATCTCATATAAAAATTAATTTCGAAAATTTATATAGAGATTTTCTATATTATGTTAAAAAATATAGTAGATGGTTTGGACCAGTAAAGGATGAACAATCATAGTTGAGATTATTTATAAACTACACTTTACTTTGATTTAAAAATAACATACCGTAATAGGTTATAAGAGGTCTTGTGTCATTATTGAAGGAGGTCCTTATAGTTTGAATTATTGAGAGATAACCAATTTAGTATTTATGATAATTACGGTCGAATCGGTATTAGTTATGATCACTGTTCTAAAAATCGTTGTAGGTGCCCGATTAGTCCCTGCCTAGGTGCTAGGTGGTGGTCGGGCGCCTCGATTCTAGTCTAGATGCTCCGACTCATTGGGTTGGTGCCTAGCTGAACTAGTCGGCTGCTAGAGTGCCTAGCTGCCCGCCCAGAGCGCTTAATCGGTCTTCTAGAGCGTCTAAATTCACTGAACATTTTTTCCCTAAGAGATATATGTACTATTAACTTTAATCATGCATGTGAAGGAAGCTACTTGTAGATTAAGATAACAACCATACATACACATATATACTCTTAAATGTTCTTATGAATTATTATTTAATATTTATTTCATAAGAAAGTTTAATGATTAGTTATAATATTTTATTAAATGTGATAGTTGTATCGATCATGCATGTTAATGTGTAATGTGTGTATATTATTTATACACACACAATATTACTTATGTTGTTTATACAATAATATTGATAACAATTATTTTTATTTCTCCGACTAGTCCCTGCCCAGGCGTCTAGTTGTTGGGCATTGGGCTGGCGCCCGACTAGCTCTTAGGGTCTTTTAGAACATTGATTGTGATTATGATCAAATTATTTTCCTAATTAACCATGCGCCTAATTTTTAAAGTTCTTAGGTTATGTGTATTTAAGTCTGTTTGGATATACGAAAATCCCTAAAGTCTGGAACTACAATAAGAAAAGGAAAAAAGATTGACTATTGGGTGGATTTTAAATATGGAAAATTGCCATGTTTCTGTTTTGTGTGTGGAGTCATTGGTCATGCAGATAAGCTATGTTCATCGGCATACGAGAAAGGGGATAAGAATCTCGAGAAATCTTTGGAGTCATGACTTAGAGAGGGAGGAGGGATACATCGGCCCACAGTTTCTAATAAATGACTCTTCCAAGAAGGGTCTTCATCGTCCAGAATGACCAAGGCATAGGTAGGACATGGAGGAGTGGCAAACTAGACATACGATGGGAAAGGGATCAAGGCAGGTTAGTAACAATGTTGAAAACCGAGGAAGGAAATGCTGGAGAAGCTGGAACAACTAGCATGGGATTGGACTCTAATCACCGGTATAGGAGAAGAGTGTAGGAGCAAAAGCAGGAGAAAGAGGCGTAGAATAGTGACGGAATGGCTCTTAGATACGGCAAAAAACAGGGAAGAGGGGGGTGCTGGCTACCAAGCCCTCTCGAGTATCTGAGAGTTTATACCTCCCAAGAGGGAAAGCTCGTGCTTCGCGTGATATTGGGGAAGCAACTTTACTCTACTTGCTATGTTTTTCTTGTCGTTTTTTACTTTTGTCAGGATGTTATTTTGGTTGTGTTTTTGTTTTTCTTTCTAGTGAGACTTTTGAGTTTAGGTTGAGTGATAGAAAGTTTGTTTTGACCGTTTTTGGCTCAGTTATGCCCATTATATGATCAACGAGCCATATTGGTTTCGAAGAGGTGATTGACTCTGGATCTTATTCAAGTGCTGGTGGATGAGAGTGGACTTTTTGTCTTCTTATTACTTGCTTGAATTTTTATATTTTCAAAAATAATGTTCTTCAATTATGTGGAGTACAAATTAACAAGAGGAGGATCTATTGTTCGTCCCAAATACACCAAAGATCAGAAATCAAAAGACAACTCAGAGGCAGTTAGGCCCCACAGACTGATAATGCAAAAGAAAAAAATTAATGATAATGAAGAGTTTTTCGCAGAATAATGCTAATTAAATAAATAAATCCCAAAATACTGATGAGTTAAAAACAATTTCTAGAATACCGTTAGAGTTAATCGTGGTTAAGGAAAACCGCTACTTCAAGTGACGGCTCTTCTCTTGCTGTACAAAAGCCGCCACTTGGAGTGGCGGCTCTTCACTTAGAGTACGAAAGCCGTCACTCCAAGTGGCAGCTCTTCTACGTACTAACATTCACAACAAGTGATTCAATGAAAAAAGAAACATGTTTGGTACAGTACAACCAACTCAGAAACATCAAACAACTGCATTTCATAGTCAATACAGGTTACTAAAAAACAAAACACACCCGACACACAAAACAAATCAATGGAACTATATTGATCACAATAGTAAAAAACATCACATAAAGTTGATAATAAATCCAATGTTTTAAAACATAATTCGATCGGCTAGTTCATGTTTAACACAATAATGTAAAGTACAAACATCATAAGTCAACGTGATCATCATCATAAAACTCATGTGGTTGTGCTTCTGCCTGAGGTCGGGGGCGTTTGCGCTGGTTATGACTTTGAAGATCCACTCTATCACATCGTAGTGCCTGGGAAGACCCTGCTGTTGATGTAGATGTCGTGGAATACTGAGAGGCGGCCACATATCCGTGGTCTTCTCGGCCCAATACATCAGCGCACAGTGCAACAATGCCCGAACATACCTCATGATATCCCTACACATCTACCCCTCATCAAGTAACGCAGTCGCTCTGTCACGGCTAGTATGCAAAGCCCATGTTTGTAATGAAAGTATCGTTATTAGTGATAAACACATAATAAATAAATAAATAAATAGAGTCATTCTCCTGTCCAGCAGGTTTTGGTCCACACGCTATTCGAACACCGACGTTCGGGGAGGGTCTCGGTGGATTTTTTTGATGAAATTTGTATGGTATGTTCTTCATCAAGTCTAGTTTATTCACAAAAAAAATCAGCTCAAAATTCGATCGGGAAGGCCGTCAAATAAGTTTTAGAAGTTAACTGCGCAAAATTATACATAGAAAAACACACAGAACTTCCAAAAATTATTTGACGACCTTCCCGATTGAATTTTGAGCTGAAATGTTTTGTGGATAAACACGACTTGATGGAAAACATACCATAAAACTGTCATCGAAAAATTCCACTGGGAACCATCCCGGACGACGGTGTTTGGACAGTGCCTCAGGTCTGGACGTTCAGACCTGAGAATTTTCCTAAATAAATAAATAAATAAATAAATAAATAAATAAATAAATAAAATCATTTATTGGTGTACCGTCAAATGAAGAGCGACTGGGTTGGGCTGGTAATGATCGGTGGGTAGACGAAAATTGGGAGAGATGAACACCCATGTGATGGTGTGATATCATCTCATGTAATCCGCAGAGACTGTGGGGACTACAGATGGGGTCCCGTGCACTATATACGTCTCTCTCATTCCACATGGTGATATATTGCATATTGTGCATCCCCCAATTTTCGGTGTGCTTCCCTCATTTGTCGATCTTGTGTAATTCCACAGAAGTATCACAAGGTGCGAGAACAATCTGGTGCAACCCGAGCTGTCGTAGTACACGATCGGGAATCTCCTCCAACGTGCTTATGGCAGACATGCTTAGGCCTCTCAATGGGTCGGGTCTAGATCCGGACCCGACCCAGACCCGGTTGTTTTTAATGGGTACGGGTCTTAATTTTATTCCGTTTACCCGGACCCGGATCCGGACCTGTTTGTATTTTAAATAAACGGGTCGGGTATGGTACATATGATTCCAACCTGATGGTCCCGGATAGAGGGAAAAGTCTAGAGGGGGGGGGGGGGGGGTGAATAGACTTTTAAGGCTTTTTCAACTTTAACATTTTTTCCTTCTAGATGAGTTGATCTATAATCTTTTGAGAGATTTATAGAT